GAGAGGAGGAGGAGGCAACGCTATTTGTAATATCCGATTATTCGTCATTTCGTCTTATGATTTACTGCAGTATTCCCTTCCCTCTCCAAACGCAACTTTTTCGATTTTATATTATTTTATTTATAGTTAAAGTCCGTACCCAATAAATGAATTTTCTGGATTCACCACTAGGACTATATACGGAGTATACTAGCTAGGCACACACTTTGTGTGTGAGTGCCCAATTTCTTTTCCTTAAACCTATTAAACCCAAAAACTCCGAGGGCCATACCAACCACTATCACATGCAACAGGAATATCACCAACCAAAACACATCTCTCCAATGGCGTGAATTTCTTGGAGTGGCTCCTAGAGAATGACTTGTATCAGCCATTGTGTACTTCGCTACCAATAGAAACCAAGGCAATTTCTTTTTACTTCTTTTCTGGTAAAAGGAATCACACATAGAAGCTATGGTATTATGCAAAGGGCCACTTTTCATGTCAAATTCAATGCATTTCCCAGTCTTAAGTACAGGTTATTAAGCAGCCCAAAATTGCCCATGAAGTGTTTACTTGCACCATACCAACCCACACCACCCAAATTACACTTAAATCAGAAGTTCTTTTCCCTGAATTCGTGTTCATACATGGATAATAACTGACTAATTCACACAACTACGAATACCGTGAATTCGGCTTGCCGCCAGGAGTCAACATAAGTCACACTTCCCAAATTCAAATGCAAAAACCAATTCACGATTAACATGTCCATATAGATGATCACTGGCAAAATTTAACCTGCGCAATTACCTGCGGTTCTGAGGGAGCGTCTTTGAAGGAAGACGAATAAGAAGAAGAAAAAGAAGACCCTTGCGAGTTGCTCATGGCAGCGGTTATCACAAAAGAAGATTGAACATACTCGCTATATCATACCCATATTATATTATCACAATGATAGGGAGTGTTTTACAAAAATTGAAGTGATCACCCACACTGCATTTATGATATTTGGCTAACTTAAGAGTTCTAACATAGGGATTGTTTTACAAAACTTGAAGTGATCACTTGCACTTCATCATTTCTACTATGTAACAAACTGACATAAGGCCTTCTACTGAGTTGGGCTAGTTAGATTTTACAGGAACAGTAGGAATAGAGATTAGAGTCAAAAAAGTTTTCAAGGTCCGTAAACATTAGCTAGGTCTTTTTTTCTGGGCGTCCTCTTCAACTTTCATCTTTCTCTTTAGACTTGGTGCGCTTCTTTGCTTCGGAGAGAGACTGTAGAGGGTTTGTAGTGAGTAAGTGTTCAATGTATTTGTTTCGTAAGTGCCTGAACTTGGTTTGATTGCAGCAATGACAGTGACTGATAGAAGCGCCTTGTTTAGATTCACAGAGTTGATCGTCTCCAACGGTGAATTCCACTCAAGTGTCTTAAGTATTTTCTGGAGCTCCTTAGTGAAGAGGGTCACGTTTATAGCGTGGTTGCCGTCATGTATTTCAGCTGTCACTCTGAATCTGCGTTGATTTGCGGGGAGAAAGTGTTCGTATATCAGAACATATTAAAGAATAGTCATTTTTTGAAACAAAATGGAAATATACAGGTAAACTCTTTATCGTAGACGCCTCTTTGTCTCCACATTGCATGCATTCAAAGGTGATCCCATCTGTGCAGTTCACCTTCCGATTACAGGTGGTGCATCCTATGTATATCGTGATGGGTTCATTCTCTAGGAGTTACACATGTCTCTCTGTGTAAAAGTGTGGATATCATCAACTTCTGGGTCAACTCTAAGACATGAATTTAAAAAATGACTATTGAAGAAATGTTTGTAGAACCTGATTTGCTGTGTTGATGAGGTCCGATATGCTTACTTTTTCAATATCTGCCGGACTTACAAAAACAGACAGAGGATCTTCAAATTGTTTTGTTTCCAAGGCATGTTGTATTGTGATAACATTCGAACATTTCCTGGATAGCACATATTTGGTTACAGAACTAATTGTAAAAACTAAGTAATTATAAGAATATATAAAAATGCCTACCACTCTTCTAGAGATGCCACAAGAGGTATGTTTGGATTTACATCGATTGATGAATCTTGACGTGTTGTTAGTGTCAGTCCTGTTTGTATATGTAATAGAGAATCGGACTCCAAAGGTAAAAGGACATAAACAGTTCTGTATATATTAAAGTGCAGAAAGTCTGTAAACTAAGCAAATCTAAAAAGTGGGAAAATAGTAAATTTGATAGAGGAGTATTTCTGTGCATAACAAAGGTGGGGTTTACCTTGGTAGGTAGTCGTGATTATCCTCCTTGCGAGTATTGTTGGATAAATACCCGATTCGAGTGCATTTTCGATTTCTATCCCCTGAGTGGTTGCGAATTCCTCCCACAATGTTAGAGTGATTGGCTTGCATCTGCATGATCACGAAAATGTCAACGGGGTGTGAAGGCATAAAGTATGTTTGTTGAAGTTAATTTTTTTAGACATATGTCAACGAGGAAAAGAGTTTAACCTAGGATGTTTTCTATGAAGTACGTAATTTATTTAGTTATATAACCCACATAATCAATAACCCACATAGGTTGTTACATCCACGAGTATATGTAGAGTAACCCAAATCAATGCAGACTTCCAAATTTTAAACTGTAATGTATTCTCTGGCTATGTACTAACTTACCCCTGTGAAATTATTATTGTGTGGGTGTTTGATGTTTGATGTTTCCATTAGGAAGTAGTCGTGCAATAGGTGAAATAAGCATTTAAGTAAGTCCAACACTTTTTTTACCCAGGTTTCCTAAAGGTGTACTGAATAAGTATTCAAAGGCCTTCGCCTTCCAGTATGTGTGGCATAGCCAGTATTCGTTATATTCGTTATATGACTATGAATGAAGTCATCAGTGAGAAGAAAATTACAAATAAGCATGCCAAAATGTATTTAAAATTCGACCAGGCAGTCATGCATTAGGTCAAATAAGCATGAAACCGAGTACACCGACGTTTATAACTCAATTTCCCTAAGAGGATGATTGTGGTACTCCGTTCTCGTTATGGAACAACATTTGCTGAATTAGGAAAATGGAGGATGCTGATCAACTTATATAGTCACTTATGTTCTTCAATATTCCTTTAGGAAGAAGATCATACCGTCAAGTAAGAAACCATATTTTAGGTTTGGCAAATGTATGTAATTTTGGAACAATAGAAGATGTGATAGAATTAGTACTGGAACATACTCTTGGTCTATGATGATGAAGTCGGTTGTTGTCTTTTGACCTTTTTTTGTGAAGACAAACCTGCGGGCCAATTTGGAAATAACAGCTCCAAGTACATCTGTTATTTAGGACATAGCAGTGTTAGATATAAAACATAAAGTTAATGAAATGTGTAATGAGAAATGTATGTTTCAAGTATGATCAGTGGTGGACAGGGAGAGTAACGATGTTAAAGCAAAAGCAGGTAGTGTAATGGAGGAAATGTGTTAATACTTACTCATATCTTTTTTACTCCACATTGATTTGTAGAACATTGAAAATGGTTCAATATCAGCATCTGCAGTTGGCTGAGGTACGAGTTTTTCATCAGGACTGACGTCATGAATCATTGTTCTTCTATTCAATGTCCAAATGCACCTATAAGTTTCATCAGGGACGGCAAACCCATGCGTCACTGGCGAAACCCTTGCATCAAATACCTTATATGTGCCATTTAGCTGGATGCGTTTTTCGATTATAGCAATATCTTGTCCATAAGTCATTGCTTTGACCTTGTGTCCCTATAAATGAATAAGATTTTAGAGGTTTGACATTAAGACTTTATTAAACAAGAAGTTTGTAGTAGTGTGGTTCAAGAATTTTACAGCAGTGTCTTCGAAGATTATTGGTTTATATGTTAGTCCAGGTTTAATGCATGAAGATAATAATATTGAATTTAAAAGGTAATATCATAGTTTCAAAGTAAACTATCAATTTCTGAGTGCTTAAATAGACAGTGAACGCTAAAATGGACAGTATTTATTGTAATTTTAGAATTGCTAAAATGGACAGGAAGCGTGGGTAGAACAACCCGTCATTGCTTTTAAATCATCAATTTCCTTGGCGATAGCAAAAGCAAACACAAAGAAAAGGGATTCAAACATAGGCATATAGATGGAAAAAACTGACCTATTTTTTTACTATGCTAAAAGCAGACACAAAGAAAGGGTTTCAAACATAGGCATATAGATGGAAAAAACTGACCTATTATTTTACTATGCAAGGTATTCCAAGATTTCTTTGTACACAATATTTGATGTGACATTTGTGGTCTTGGAAATGTGATTGTCATTGTGAATAAGTATCTTCATGGATGCTGCATTTTTCGAACGGTACATCGCAACGTACAACTGGCCATGAGAGAAAACTGGTTGTCTAAGATAGATTCCAGCGAAGTTGAGGGTCTGGCCTTGTGATCTGTTGATTGTCATTGCGAAGCATAGCTTAATTGGAAATTGAGTTCTCTTGAACGGAATTGTACACTTTTCGTCTTTAGAGATTTCAAGTGGTATTCTTGGTATGAATACATGTTTGCCCTTATAGTCACCAAATGCTATAGAACAACTTATGAGATTATCGTGAAAATCATCACATATTAAGCGTGTTCTGTTACATAAGCCTCAGCAGGATTCAGGTTTCGAAGTAGGATGTTTGGGCAATTTTTTTTAAAACTAAGGTGTGAGGAGGCAAACCTGCAAATGACAATGTGTGTAGGAAGTCTTGGCAATTTTTGTACTTAGGATCGAGCGCTTCATCATAGCTTAGCAGCGTTTTTGATTGTCCAGGGAATGTACCAATGAGGATTGCGTTTATTTGATCCACGTACTCATTTGTGGTAGTTAGAATTATTCTACCCATCAATGTGTATGGATCTCGTTGAAAAAGACTCAGGTCTAGATAAACTGCTGCTATCATTGACGACAATGGGTTTGAGGCATGTCCGACATGAATAAGGAAATGTTCTGGGATTTCAATGTTTGTACCATCAAGAGTCGGTGTTGTTCCATTTCCTATCGTCATTAGATATTCGCAAAAAAACGGATCAGATTGAGCTCGTATATTTTGTACTAAAACAAGACGTTTCAATTTTGCCCAAATATAGGAGGATTTAACAATGCATGCATTAATAGAGTCTTGTTTGTTTACATGCCTAACAACAGGGAGAGTTTGGCGTAAATCTCCACCGAAAACAATAATTTTGCCTCCAAAGACTTCCTCCGAGCACATAATATCTTTGAGACTTGTATTCAATGCTTCGATAATACCTCGGTTAGCCATTGTAACCTCATCCCATATAATAATTCGTGCCTCTCTTAGTAATGTAGGTGTTGCACTTTGCTTACCTATGTTACAAGTGTTTCTAGCGTTTCCATCGAGCGGCAATTTAAATCTAGAATGGGCAGTGCGACCTCCTGGAGGAATTGAAGCGGCAATACCTGATGTTGCAGTAGCCAAAGCTATCCATTTTTTGCTCCGAATTGTTGCTAACAAAGCTCTGTATAGAAATGTTTTTCCTATACCACCAGGACCGTCTACGAAGAAAACTGTGCTTTTGTTTAAAAATACGCTTTGCATAATGGAGTCAAAAGCAGCTTTTTGTTCTTTGTTGAGAAGCTGAGCGCATTGAAGGTCCTATTCGCTGACGTTTATGTTATGCTCTGAGCTCAATTCGCGTGCCTGAAATTCAGTGGTACTTAAAGACATGGCAGAGTCTATTAAATTGAATGTAGCAATGCTCTTTCCAAGACTTTCAGTTATGTCTCCAATAAGTTTGAGTACTATCATTTCCATTTCTATTGGAGTGTATAATCCTGTTTGAGAGAAGTCTTCATATAATTGAGGTTTGTATTTACACCATAGTTCTCTTGGATTAGGAACTTCGCAAAAGACCAATAACGAAGCAAACAATCTCCTTAAGCTACTGGGCATTTGATATGTGATTGCCTCTTCAAGACAGACATCAATTGTAGCATTTTCTGTTAAAAGTCCCATTCTTTCAGCACTCTCTCGAAATGTGGAAAACATGTGACCATCGACGAGTCTCAAACTGTTAAATGACGTTGGAGCTTTGACATGTTGGAGTAAGATGCGGAGGTAGTATCTCTCTCCTTCTGTTGGATTTACGCTGACAAGTCATCCGATAACAGTTTTACGTTTTCGTTGCGTCCATATTTTGTTTGTGTCTGACCAAACAAAATATTCAGGGAATTGTATGTAAAGTAATTGAAGTCCTTTCGCAACGATGTCACATGTGTTCATTTCAAAGAACTTAGTCAGCATTGTGCTCGACTTATTATCGTCTTTAACAATCTTCGTGATTCTTTGGTTTCCAAAAAAGTTGATATACTGGAAGTTTTCGAAATGCACCTGTAATTGCAGAACTAGGGGATGCATTTCGGCAATTGGAAAAGCAAATATTCTCCAAGCCGCCTCTGGTGCAGAAACCCATCTTGCATTCTGAAAGTCTGCTATCTCGTCATGTTCAAAAGTGGTTTTATCGGTGGAGATCCCAACAGAAATTCTGTCATGCCCTTTGTAAACATACTTATATATGTATTTAACAGATCTGACCGACGCACAAATTTCAACATTAATGTGGCAGTCATATTTTAATAAGAGTTGTGGGTTGTAGGGTACTACCCAGGAGTTATCAAGTGCACATCCCCTTATTTCTACAGTGTTTCTGTTGTTCCTTCTGCGGTAAATAGGAAAGAAATCTTCTCCAAATGATGTTTCATCACTCAAAGATCTTGGGTACTTGCTTCTACAAGAGGCGGCTGACTGTCCCTTTTTTTGTCATACACGGACAACTTCGGTTAAGAGCGCCATAAGGGCCGTGTATCATATGTTTTTTGACAAGTGAGTATAGACGTGGTTGGTGTATTGGGTCAGGTATTTTCGCAGAAACACATTTGTTGCAAAGAAGGGAATTCTGTATTTTTGCTCCGACCTTAAGGATTATAAGGAAATGTGCATGAGGAAGCCCGCGCTTTTGAAATTCTATAACATATATATATATATATATATATATATATGTATGTATGTATGTATGTATGCTGCAACTTGACCAAAGAAACTTTTTTTGATGATATCATTCTTGAATTCCTGTAGTCGTGCATGAAAAGCCCTACACACAAGATCTGGTCGATTCTGTGCCTCATCTCGGTGGTGAAGGTGCTTTTTGATTTCAGGCCAATTCGGATTACACATCATCGTTACAAAGAGATCTGGTTTGCCATATTGTTGAACAATTGCCATCGCATCAAGATAACATTTATGCATATCTCGAGGACCGCCTATGAATGAAGCTGGTAGAATGACACGTTGGCCAACATCGTCACCGTATACCATGCCTGTATACATGCTATCCACAACACCTTGATACGTTTCAGATCTGAGATCAAGTTGTTTAAGTCTATAATAATCCAAACGTTGTGTTTCAATTTTGACATAGACATCAACAATAAATTGTTGTAACCTTCCTGTATGTAACAAATAGTTGTTGTCATCCTGGCGTATTTGGAGCTTATAAGCATAATATTCCCTACAGGAAACCGTTTTTCTCTTCCTTCCTGTTTGAATATTGTTTTCTTCAATCCGAATTACATCATCAGCGGTGTGTGCAAGGTTAACATCCGACATCACACAAGGTATCTGTTTGGTTTTTGCTAAATGACGTTGCACTTCTGACAATACCCTATCAATCCCGGTATGCCAACCTACCTCCCCATGAGCAAACAATAATGGATATTGTAAAGGATCATAACATCCGTAGAAGTATTGTATGTTCTGTGATTTTCCAGTGTGACCATAAACACGAATGTGTTTGGATTCCTGAGTTCCGTTGTTCCTATCTTCAACCCATATTGCAGCAATTTGTGACGCAGTAGGAGTATTATAGACTCGTTGATCTAAGCCTGGATGGTTGTGTAGTTGTATACTAAACTCCGCATCGTTACATACATCTTTGAGACTCTTAAAAAACTGAGCGTATGGATTATCTGAGATCAATTGAACAAGAGCTGATACTATCTCTTTATCCAACCTATCTGTTGTCTGTGTCCTGTTTTCAACTTGGTGATCGGTGTCAAAAAAATATAGCTGTAAATTTCGCGGTGGAGATCCATTCGGCAGCAAGTCATTCACGAAATGATATATTTGCCCCTGCACCTTAAAAGTATAGATTCCTTTGTTCCTTTTGCACAAATCCTTGTCATAATTATATATACCGATTGAGGTAAATGCAAATGTGTTGTTGTATGTACGAACAAGAGATTGAAATCGTTTTGCTTTAACATCATTCCTAATGAATAAGTCTTTTAATGCAATGGGCATCTGAGTGGATTCTAGAATGACCTCACCTCGACAACAACAAAACCCCAAAGGCTCAAACTCGAAGCGACTTGCACCACAAAATATGCAATCTAATACCCTCTTTAAAGAAAAAGGTGATTCGTGATATGTATAGAGCGTTGATGAATCTGTCGAAATAGGATTAATAGTTGTGGATAGAGGAATGTCAAGAATATAGTAATGAAAATAGTTGAATGTGTTGGAGTATGTATTCAAAGGTTTTTTTGGGGAGGATAGTTAGAAAAAGAAGAAAAAAATTAGCCAATGGCTTTGAAAGCAAACATGAGGCTATAATGTATATCATAAAGAATTAAATGGAAGACCTTTATTAGTAGAACAGGTGCCGGACATTTTGGAGCGTTGAGTAGTAGTTGAACCCGTTTCTTTTTCTTAGTCACGTAATTCACGATATCTAAGCCGACGTCTAAAGTTTGTTTGTTCACGTCGATTACCCTCGGTGACTGGTTGAGTAGATGAAGATCCAACTTCCATTGAATCTTTAATAACTTAAGATTACACCCAGGTGTTGACTTAGGTTATGCGTCATGTAATTACAAATATAAGTATTAAATTTAGTAACTCCTAGGTTTTTTTTAAAATGTGGCTACCAAATAAGAGAACTAAGGTTCTTTTAGTAGTAAGTGTTTTTACAGATATCTATATTGAAAAATTATAGGTGCTTATAAAAAAAATTTATTTATTAAAAAATAACTTTGACACTACATTTCTAGAAATACATAGAAAATATGTTTTCAATAAAATTTAAAGAAATATATATTTAAAGTGCGTAAACATACCAAGGAAGTGGAACAAGAAGTTGATGAGATAAAGACGGAGCACAAAGAGTGATGTGTCACCTGTGAAGACCACAAAGAATAAAATGTTTATCAAACTAATTACATAAACACCTTTTTCACATATATGTAAATCATCACCACCCCTCTGAATAAAGAAATGTAACAAAGTTGGGCACCGACAGACGATGAGTATGAGAAGGTTGGATACTTTGATATAATCATGGTTAATAATTTTTAATGCAAGTTTAAGAACATATGCAATCCAGTTATTATTACTTCACCCGGCATTTGTCTATTGCAGTTTAGGGACCCGACTACAACTTGGTTTCTAACTATAGGGTTCTAGCTTATTAATTAACTATAAACTAAGGAATAAAATAAACTAAATAAATGGGAGAATAAATTTAAAAATGCCCAGGGGGCCAGTATGTTTCAAAATCAAAATTGAACGGAATTGATGCAGAGCTTCAGCAATGCAATTACCTAAAATCAAGTGAAAAGAAAAAAGATTGTATTTTTCAAAGTCAAAATTGAACAAAATTGATGCAGAGCTTCAGCAACACAATTACCCAAAATCAAGTGAAAAGAAAAAGGATTAAAATTTGCAAATATTGGAAGCCCTAGTGGAGAAGAAGATAATAAAAATCTGTCTTCAATTTTTTTTCTTTAAAACAGAGAAATGGAAAGGGGGTATAAACTTCTCTGTATCCATTTGGAAAATTTCAAGAAAGAACAAATGGAAGAAGACTTGATGTTGTCTTCTTTGACATGGTTTTTCACCAAATTTCCCTGATTTAACCTAAAAAAATAATAGCCAACTGCTTTCTATTTACACCTTAAATTTCAATTTTAATTTCTCAGGGTGATAGTGTTGATTGGAAGATGTACATACATCAACTCTTACACAACCCCATATTTCAAATTCACTTTTTCTTTCCTCAAAAAGTACTAAAGAAATCGATGAGTAAATGCAGAATCATTAATATTAAAAAGGGTATTTCAAACCTGAGTTCTATTTGACTAATTCGAACCATAGGTGTCGAGCCCATGTATAAGAGTAAAAAAAACATATATGGAGTGTAAGTTTATCATTAAGAAGTAAAAACCAACACCACCCGATAGACAAAAATTAATCGGTACCATCGCTACATGAATTCTACAGAGAGCCCTAGAATATAGTACATGTTCAGTAGATTTCTAAAATGAATTCTAAACCCTAACCTCGGTACCATCGCTACATGAATTTTACCAAAGTTACTATTTTTCAACTTAAAAAATATTTTAAAACTTAAAATTGCAGACCTATTATACCAAGACATGAAACTAAGTGAACTTAAGTTAGATCAAGAGAATGATATCTCCAAAAACAAGCACAAAGTAAAAGAAAATCACATGCAAATATGAATTGAAGCTTTAACTTTATTTGAAAATAAAATTGAAGCTTGAATCTATCTCAATTTGAAACTCCTAAATCTGGAAAAAAACAATTTCAAAACACCAATAATGAAAATTCTCTAAAATTTGAGAAAGAAATAATCGAAGATGGCATAAAAAATAGGAAGACAAATTCGTGACTAACCGTGCTGGGAACCAATAAATAGAAGCAGCGAGCAGCAATGATAAGAGCAACGAAGCAACAATTATAGGGGCAGCTATGAAAATTCCTTTTCTAAATAAAAACTTGCAGATAGATGAAAATTGGAGTCGTCAATTGTCAAAACCACCGAGTGGTGGTGATATTTTTTTTGTTTGGGGGGAGATAAAATTAAGATGTATCAAGAAAGAGTGAAATACCTGGTAAAGAACCACCGTGTACGGGAAAAAGAAATTGTAGGGAGATAAAATTAGAATACTCCGCTGTGAAGAAGAAGTCGTGGGGCGGTGGGCGGCAAAGATAGCTAATTGGATTCATCCGTCGTGCACAGAGACGGAAGGGGATGGCAATGAATAGTGGATCCGTAAGAAAATAAACGGAAAAACGCCGAAGATAACTCCTTTAGACGCTTATAATACTATTAGGGAGATGTTATAGCCCGACCAATTTTGACACTGAAGTTTGACTCTATGTATTTCATAGATATACTAGTATTTTAACCCGTGCGATACACGGGTTGAATGAAGTTTTTGTCACTTCTGTAAATTATTTTCAATGTAATATTTTTAAACGATTTTATGAAAATATATTTAATGCATTCTTTAACACTATAGACATTAAAATCAATGTAAAATAAATAGTTTAGCATTTAATATTTGGTAATGAAAATTTTTATATATAAATTTAAAAGTGAACACCTCAAAGTCTTTTTTTAAATCTATATTTTTGGAAAGACTTCAGAGTATATAATGTTTTTGGTATGGTTGCAAAGGTTTTCAATATCATCTAGAATTAATATTTTTAACCCTATCTTTACTTGCTCTCGTGAAATAGCAACATAAAGTTGATAATGAGTAAATACCAACTTGGTTAAAAATGATCCAACAAATGACAATGTGTGATCTTGAATTTTATTAATAGTCATAGCAAAATATAAAATTATTGAAAGTTGTTTTCTCTGGAACTCAAAAGATAGTCTTAGATCAGATAGTACCAAATTTATTCTAGATATGTAAACCTTTTTGCCGACTCAAATTCTCAAAACGACAATTGCACTGATAACGTTAGTTCATAGCTCTTCAACGATTAATCTTGACTCATTACATAATCAAGATGTTTGGTCAATGTTCCTCAATTGCATAATGAGTACCCCTTTTTTCCAAGATTATTTTGTGGTTTGGTATTCTTGAACATTTCATTTAATTCAAAAACTGAACAAATCGCCATAAATGGTCTCGTAATAAATATTATTTATTTTATTATTTAAATAAATCAATTTGATAAAATCAATTCATTATTGATCTCTGTAATGAGATGAATGAATGGAATGGGGTTATAATCTAGGCGTGGATAGCAAGAAAAAAACAAAAAGGTTCTCCTGCTCCTTTTGTTCAATATTACGTGTCTGATTTCCATAACTCTAGTTTCCAAATATTTTTAGAAATATATGAAACTTATATCGTTGAGTTCTATATTTTTCATACATTATTTTAACATAATTTCTTTATCAAGAAAATAAACTCACTTGAACAAAATAATATCATTCGGATAATAGAGAGGGTCAAAACTTATTAACTTCTTTCATTCAAACCCTCTAATAATTTAACAATTAAAGCTTAAATTTCAAATGGTCATTTATATTTTTTTCTCATAAAGAATAGTGACACTTTTTTTTCATACTTTAACCGTGACCCTTCATTCCCAATTTTTTTAATGGACAAAAACTTCATTATTTGTACTCAAAAATTAGAAATTTCTAAACCGGTTTTTAGAGCGTTACAATTTCGAAGTGCGGTTAATTACTACCTATTACTTTAGCTAAGCTGAGTCCTTATCCAATGAATGAATATGTGAAAGACATGACTGCAGCAACAATGGAGAGCCATTGCGTGTTGCGAAAGTCTGGAATTTGAGACACTAGTGCTTGGATTGATCCAAATATAATCATATATTTCGTTTTTGAATGCCCACAAGTAGCCTCATGGCCTTCATAATGAAAGCAGTTTGCTTTCTGAATTGCTCTGCAATCAAGAAGCTCTTCATCCAATGGAAGAATATATAGTAGTCCAAGGGTGAAGAATCATTCCCAGTTGTTTACACACCCGATGCTAATAGCAGAAGTGATTGTGTACACAATTCCAAGCTTGATGAAATTGATCCCAACAATGATGCTGCAAAACCAGGCGCTTCTATTTCCTGCCCCACACACGAAACGAACAACAACCCCAGTGAAATCTTTCATTCGTTCAACAAATGAACGAATTCTCTAAATATTCATTCAGATTACTTAAAAAAAGAACAATCAATCCAAGCAAGCACAAAGAAGAATCTGAAATCATCAAGAAATGTGATAAACTAAAGAACCAAAGCAACATTTTACGAAATGGGATCTAATGGGTTTGCAAAAGCCTGTGTTTTTACCTAGGACGGAGCGGACAACATCAAGGTAAGAGTCATGGGTGTGGAGGTCAGAATCAGTGGATCGGTGGCAATTAGAGAGAAGAAGAGCACTGGTGAGAGTGACTGCAGCAAAACACAGCATTGTTATCGGACCGACGATCCATCCCAGCTTTGACATGCTCCATGCTCCATGTTATCGGACTGCAGCAAAACGCAGCAAAATTAATTTTTTACAAAACAGTTGTCTTCTTTGCTGGAAAAAGAAAAGATTTTCTAGTTTAGTTGGCAATTTGGTTCAAGAAAAGTGAAAAAAGGTGTCATCTTTATCAATACCTATGCTGAATAAAATCAAGAAAAGTTACCAGTTCTCTTCTTATTGGTATCTTCAGGTAGAAGCAATAGTTCTTCAAAAGCATACATCTGAGTAGTTAGTAGTAACAAGTATTGGTAGTATAAGTAACTTTGTCTTCTTCTTCATCTTCTTCTTCATTAGCTGCCATGGCCATGGCTGAACTGCACATTGTGCACAGACTTGATGCATGCCGGGTTTCTCGGAAACTTTTGGTGCAGAGAAAATTCAACCATGGCGGGTAGAGATGGGAGAGATCTTTCGTCTGTCATTAATCGTCTACTCTAAAACTGCCCTGTGTCGCTTTCCCTAACCTACCTCTACCCAACATTTGCCCTTGGACCCAAAAAAAAATAAAGAAAGATGAATAAAAAGGTAACCGACAAAGGGAAATGGGAAGGAAATACACAAATTTTCATTGTGTGATTGATTGTACTACTTAAATAAGTATTTGTTTTTTAAATAAAAAAATTTAAAAAAAAATTAATGTCAGAAGGTCCACAAAATTGATATGCATCCAAGGTGTACTAAAGAAGCACTCACCATTTAAAAGAAAAAAACTTCCAATATTTGAAAGTAAAAAATCAAGCAAACTCCCCACAATTAGTCATTTTTGCTTTCATAAATATTTTAAATTATTTTTTTACTCAATTAAGCAATATTTATATTATTCAATGTATTTTGTTATAATAAATTTGTTATATACTTCATCCGTCCTAGAGTATTCGTCCAGTTTCGACTTTTGAAATTGTCCATCTAAGCACTTTGACTCAGAAAATTCTCTCAATGTGTAAGCCTAAATATAGTCATGTATGATTTTTTTGATTTGTTTTAACATATAGATTATTAATATATATTTTCTATAATTTTTTAATATACAAATTACAAGATAAAATGGATTAAAGAAGTGTATTGGATGATGTGTAAAAATGAAAGTGGACAAATACTCTCAGACAGAGGTAGTAATTTTTTAGTAATTATATAAAAAATTTGTTAAATAAATAAAAATCTTTTAAAAGAGTAATTGTAACTTAACAACAACAACTAAGTCTTATCCCACCTCCACTAGGTGGGATCGGCTACATAGATCAAATGGTGCCATTATACCCCATCAAGTACTATGAATGTGTTTGGAAGTGATAAACTTGTGGATAAAATGAGTTCACAAAAGCTGGAAGCAGAAGCATCATACACGTGCTTCTCTGAAATGGTATTCTATGTACAAAAAGATAGTAAAGAAAAGCAGAAGTTGGTATGCCAAACAGAATAAAATGATTATCACTTAAAGCAGAAGCTAAATTCTGAAAAACAACGCAGTGCCAAAGACCCTCTATATGTGCAATGAGATCATTCACACGAAGGCCCGGGTTAACAACTTCGCGCCAAGTTAGTAATTAGAGGTAAATTTCAATAAATATTTCTATTTCTCCTCACTTCATCTAATCAAACAATATAACTTAACCACTTTTTTTATATGGGTTGCGCCAAGGGTGCACCAACATTTGTACACCAAGTGTATCACAAAGACATAAGGATAATATTTGTCTATGCATCACACAAACAGTTATTAAATAGTTATTGTATGTCTGTTTGTTATACATTAAGTGTACAAAGTTCATGCACAAAGTTGTATTGCTCTTATATTTTCACTTTTAAATTTTCTTGTAATCAAATAACCTAATGAAAGTTAACCTTCCACTTCATTTTATACAATTTTAGTACTCCATAAAAAAGATCACTAAAATCCCAAGGAATGCTTTATGGATTTTTATGGAAATTTTCATTGGTCCTAAAAAAATTCATGTATGTTATTATCAAATATAATATAATCCAAATTTGTTGTAACCTTACCCTAAAGTAATCGAATAATCGCAGCGTGACCGAAGCAATTTGCCTATCCTACTATGAAGTGATCCTTTATTACTATCATTCCATTACTTGGAGGGGGATTATAAATTTATAATGAAAAATTCAATAACATTTATCACATTTCTTAACTTATTCTTCTTTTTAAGACGAACTATTTTAGGACGAAAGACAATGAGACATAATTATATGAGTATATGCTCTTCGGGTAAATTTCACAAATGGTACCTGAACTTTAGCTAGAATTTCGAAGTAGTACTTGAACTTCAAATCCTTTCACAAAAATCCCTGAACTTACACAATCCTTTCACTAATGAGCCATTAGCCCGTTTCTAGGTTAACTTCCGGTCATTAGGGCCAAATTCGAATTTTATATATTTTAAAATTTTTAATTTGACCCCATTTCTTCTTTTCTTTTCTTCCACGCCCCGCCGCCGCCGCCCGCCGGTCAAAGTCGCCGGAAAATGAACTTTTTCCGATTCCGGCGGGACCAATGTCATTCTCTTCGTCTTGAGACGAGGATCAATAATATCCAAACCATTTTGTCTAATTTGGCTTGTAACGCCGGCGGGTCGGAGCTTTTTCCGGCCAACTCCGGCGAAATTGACGGCGGGCACCAACGCCAATGCGGTCGTGGCATCCGGGCGACCTCCAAGGACCCCTCAAATGCAAGATTTGATGAAGATTTGCAAAACCCCCAATTTTGGATCCAATTTCGAATTTTAGGGTTTTTTCGAGTAGAAAAATTCAGATTCGAGAAGTTACAGGCCAAATTAGACAAAATGGTTTGGATATTATTGAT